TTTAGTGTCTCAGTATGCCTTTTCTAATTCGCCATTATTTAATAGCTTATTATAAAATTGTATCAATGTCAATATCCTGTCAGGCTCTGTGACATATTCATAAGATATTCATATGTTAAGTAAGCAAGTGAGTAAGCAATTTAGGAGAGTAATGAATTTTTATTCAAGGCCATTTTAGAAGAAATTTCATTTTGCTCAAAGTCTTAAGGTTAAATTGCTGAATCAGAGTCCTTCATTGGCATTCTGTGTTCGGATTATACCCTTCTTTTAGTTGTTAAATGAATTTTCAAAATTCTGAAGATCCTTCCAAATTTGGAATTTGCTCTTTGAGGTTTTGAATATTCATGTCCTAGCCCTTTGCCTGCCATCCTTAATAGTGTTCATTGCATTTATTATGTATATCACCTCTCTATAGTCTTTTGATCAAGTATTTCTATTGTCTTGGAATGCTCAGAAAAATAAAATTGGGGAATTTGGCAAGATCTGAATATTATTGATTGCAAGTGAGTTATAGCAATACAAATTCAAATAATGTTTTATCCATTTAGTGGTATATTTCCATTCTGAATTAGTATTTTCCTACAAATAGATGAACACTTACATTGGGATATCAAGTGAAGTATTTATATATAACGTGCCTTGTAATTGCTTTATTTTATTTTATTAAATTGTATTTGATATGAGAAAACCACTTCACAATAGTAAAGCACCATATAAAAAAGCACTAGTTAAGCCGGGCGTGGTGGCGCAGGCCTGTAATCCCAGCACTTGGGAGGCTGAGGTAGGAGGATCGCTGTGAGTTCGAGACCAGCCTGGGCTACATAGTGAGTTCCAGGTCAGTCTCAACTACATAGTGAGACCTGTCTCAAAAAAACCAAAAAAAAAAAAACCAAAAAAACAACAAAAAAAACAAAACAAAAAAGCACTAGTTGTTAATATAATAAGAACAATTCAACCTAAATTTTGGCCTAAGTGGTGCATTTTTCTGGACCCAAGAGATGTCATAGGAAACCATAGTAGAAAGGAAGTGGTTGGAAGTCACAATAACAAAACAGAAATAAGCAGTTGTATACTATGGGTTAGTTTCCAATTTAATTTTGGTCAGCTAACCAGCTATTACAATATAAATCCTTCAAAATAGAAGATAAAATCTAGTATTTCTATAATAAATCATCTGCAGCATCCAGTTATCTACAAAGATATTAGAGAGCCTCATTTAAATAGTAGAGTGTAACCCATAGCCAAAAAAAGGTAGTTAGTTGAAACTATTCGCCCAGATTGAAATTTAGCAAAAACTCCTATACAGTTATTTTAAATATAGGTGAAAAAGTAACAGGAAAGTATGTTCCAAGAAGTAGAAGAAAATAAGGTATTGATGAAGGAACAGGTAATCTCAGCAGAGCAATGAAAACTATGAAAAACAAAAACTTAAGTCTAAAAATCCTGGAGTTGAGAAGAATAATTATTGAAATTAAGTTTTTAGATGGGCTAAAAAGCAGCATGGAAATGTCTGAAGAAAGGATCAACAGAAAAACCTGCAGAAATAGGTCTCTTCAAATGATATAAAGAAAAAAGTTGAAGAAAAATGAACAGAAACTAGACATTTAGATTCCGTACTGCAGCTATTCTTAACTACTGTTCAACAGGAAGGGAAAGAGAAGAAAAAACAATTAAGATATATTATGTCCATGTACAAACTCCTCCACAGTACATGTCAACATTATGCACTACACACATACACTAATACATTTTTTTTTTTAAGAAAAGCTACTGTTCATCAGGACTTAAAATCATATAAAAAAGAAAACTGCTGTTATCTAAATTATCTGAAAAGGCTATATTGTGTAACTTCTCTCTTTCCCAGCTATCTATCCCTGAGAGGCCAGGTTATCTTCTTACACTTCAACAAAAACAAGATATTGCATCAGAGCTAAGGCAAAAGTAGATTTGAAAATTCAGCTGTTTGGTATTGGCGATTGAACTCAGGGTCTTCTCACTGTGCTACACTCTCAGACCTTAAATTTTTTTTTTTTGAGATAGTGTCTCGCTGGTTGCCTGGGCTGGGCTCAAATTTAAAATCCTCCTGCCTCACTCAATTCTGCTATCTTCTTTTAAGCTATGCATTAGAGACTTGGAAAAGTATAAAGCAGTTTTCTTTAGTTTTGTACACTGGCTGTTTTTTCATAAAAATATGCTTTTATGTTAACATATAGTAAGTTTGTTATTAAATGAATTTTAAATTTATTTTTAATTCTTAGTTGTAATTTCTTTCTTTTTTTGGGGGGTACTGGGGATCGAACTCAGGTCCTAGTGCTTGCAAGGCAGGCGGCGGAACCACTGAGCTAAATCCCTGGCCCTGTAATTTCTAGTGTAGTAACTGTCAGTAGATATTCTTCACATTAACAAAATCCCTTTGGAATTCTCTATTCTTTTTAAGTGTAAAGGGGTTCTGAAATAAAAAAGTTTGGGAACTGTTTTGAATTTGTCAGTCTCCACCTTCGGATAGCACATTCCTTTAAAAGTAGCAGACTGGAAAATTGAAAATATCTTGTAGCCCAAGAGATTAGTGTTCTTGAGTATAAGATGACATTCAGTTTTTATTAGTATCATAATTTTCAAGTAATGATGTACTTTGTTATCGGTATGCAGCTTATTGCTTCAGTGGCACACATTTCCATCCCCCATCCCTGCCACCTGCTCATAATTGTTTCCAAACCTTATACTTTTTGCCAGGGAGCTTTATGAAGAAAGCCATAGGAACTTTTGCAGTAGTAACTAATCTTGCCTAATTAATTTTTTAAAAATTAATTTTATTGGTACATTTAAGGTATACAATAGAATGGCATTCTATGAACAATGATTTTTTGGATTGTTTTCTCAAGGTCTGTGAAGTATGCTGCTGGCATTTCAATTGGGATTGCATTGAATCTATATAGCAGTTTTGAAAATATGGCCATAGTCTGGTTTTGGGATTTCTTTCTGTGTCTTCTCATTTCAACACATGCAGCTTGTTGTGCCTTTGTTGAGACTTTTTGCTCTCCCAGTGTCTTTAATTCTCAGCAAGCTACCGAGAGGCCTTTTCTCTGCTGCTTACCAATACAACAATTCCTGGGTTCAGAATGGTGGCCTTCTGGATCCCTGAGTTCACCTGTTGTCTGGGCAGGCTTCTGCCTGGGGCCTGAGCACACTTGGGATGGGATCTAGTCTGTGCCTCTCTCTGGGGCCCTTATGTGGATGTTGTCGGTGAGGGGGGAGGTTGCCTGGTACCTCTGCTCCCCTGTTCCTATTGTCTCAGCAGGCTTCTGTCTGGGGCCTGAGCACACTTGGGATGGGATCTAGGTGTGCCTCTCTCTGGGGCCCTTATGTGGATGTTGTTGGAGAGGGGGAGGTTGCCTGAGGCCTCCGCTCCCCTGTTCCTGTTGTCTGAGCAGGCTTCTGGCTAGGATCTCTGTCAGAGTATAGGCGTGAGCCTCTGACTGATGCTTGTTTACCTGTGTAGCTCTTTTCCAGGTGGGCCCTTGGCTAAGCAGGTATGCCTGAGCCTCTAGGGTCAGGGCGGATCCCTGGCTGGGATCTGCCTGCAGTCCTGCTGGTCTGGACCCCACTGCTGCACTCTGGAATCTGCGTGCAATCATTGATGCTATGTGTCAGACTCTGACTGAAGCTTCTGAGCCTGTGCAGTTTGTTCCTGGGCAGGCCTTAGCTGGGTGGGTTTGCCTGAACCTCAGAGGTGGGGGCAGATCCCTGGCTGGGATCTGCCTGCAACTGCTCCAGTCTGGAGCACCACCTTCTTCACTTCTTTGTCCTTTTGTTATGTTTGAAGTCATCTAGGGAGAGCTGAGGAAAATCCTTAGGTACCTTCTATACTAGCCTACACAGTTGATCACTATACTATCCTGTTATGATTCAGTTTTGGGTAAAGAGCATTAATGGTTTGGAATAAAAGTATCATTGTAATTTGTATCACTTGGTGTGGAGAATTGTAGGGCTGTGAACTGGGAAAAACTTACCCAGACTTTTGGATTTCTGTACTATTCAAATTATTTCCTAAATGAATGTAGCCATGCTTACTTATCTGGTAGGTGGCAAATTTAATCTGCTAGAAATAAATTTGGTATAATGGACATTTTAAATTAAGTGTATAGTAAGTTTGCTCTTGCCTTATTTTGTTTCATGATGAAAATGAATTAACCACCGCCCCCAAAACCCAGAGAAACAAAAAAATAGCCCTGTTATATACTTGCCTGAAACCAGATGGATCCAGATTCTTCCTTGCAGTCAGGCCCCTTCTGTGCATTACTACTTTTCCTATCTTTTTCTGCTCCTCCCCTTCCCCATAGTTCTTAATGACTTTGTACTTTAAATTTAGAAGACTCCTTGATATAAATAAGCTTTTTGCAGATCTGTTTATTTATTTTATTTTATTAAAAAATAGTTTTATTTTATTTAAAAAAAATAGTCTTACTATGTAGCCCAGGCTGGTCTTGAACTCACAGCCATCCTCCTGCCTCAGCCTCCCAAGTGCTGGGATTACAGGGGTGCGCCACCACGCCTGGCTCAGATCTGTTTTTTAAAGACTTACATTATAGCCATAAATATCAGAAAAATTTACTGTAATCTCACTTCTGGTTTTTGATGTTTTCCCCTTTAATGTTTTTGGTGATTTTGAGATATGTGTGTGTTAATAGGATGGAAGCCATTTTGTATGCTATGTCTTTGATAATTGAGTTAAATGGCAATAAAATGGACAGTATTTCTCTGTATATAGTTTAAGCAGCTTACTAGTGATTTGCTTTCTGAATCATAGCTTATTTTGGGAATGATACAGATTTTCTGTTTGTACATGGTTGTAGTTGTGAAAGTCACTTAGAGCCCTCATCGGAAGAGAAGATTTCTAATGTGAGGGTATCAATTAGAGGGATATTTAATTGGGTCTAGAAATAAAACCTGTTTATTCATCAGCTATCATCTTAACTCATATTTTTTTTATGTTTTCTTAGGCCAAAGATGAAGAGGAGGCCTTTCTGGATTGGAGTGATGATGATGATGATGATGGATTTGATCCAAGCACACTTCCAGATCCAGACAAACCCAGAAGCTCTGAAGAATCAGATGGTGAAGAAATTGAAGATAAGATTAGGTATGCTTTTACTATTGGTATCATTAAGTATATAACCTAATGCCCACATGAGTGTTCTCTTTAATAAATTCAAAAGACAGTATTACAAATATTCCTTTACCTTTAATATTCTTGTCAATCCTGCTGCTGTTCCTCATTTTACCTATAGGTCATTTTATAAATATGCTTCTCTGGTCACTTAGGGGCTTTTTAAAAAATTATAGATTATAAATATATGTAATCCCTATTAACAGAAATGTGACATACGAGTTGTAGGTTTTTTTTTTCTTGTACTTTTTTCTTTGTCTATTCATTGAAGTAAGAGTGTGTACAGAGGTAGGATGTTATTTTGATTGAGTATAAAGGGACTCTTTTTTTGGGGGGGGATTACCTGGGATCGAGCTCAGGACCTTGAGCTTGCAGGTCAGGCAGTGTCACCACTGAGCTAAATCCCTTGACTAAAACACTCCATTGAGGATGCTGTTAAAAATTATCTCTGAATTTTAAAAAAGGCCACTTATATTTTCACATCATTTTATAGTCACAAAATAATTGATAACTTCTATATAAATATTCCTTGATGCATTCTTTCAATTTACAACCTGTTCATTTGTTATTGCCTGCTTGCCACCATGCCCTCCTCAGTGATATATGATGAATCAAATAATAGTATGACATGCTCAGCATTTGTTTGCAGAGTGCTATATATTAGATTGCATTAAGATTATATTGATTTAAAAGTTGAGAATGTTAGACTTCATGGACATTCTGAACCACCGAGCCACACTGAGATCTTTGTGACAGATGAAGTTAGTGTGCTTGATGGCAAAGTGGAGCTTGATTGAACCCCTCATTATTAGCCTAGAGAACTTGGAGTTACAAAAATAGGCTGTAGAGAACTGTAGTATAATTTGTTATTGTTTAATTTTTATTTTTAGTAGTATATACTTTTAGTACATAATGATAATATTCATTGTAGGAAGTTGGTATAGATATATAACATATCTTAATTCTATTTATTTATTTATTTATTTTTGAGACCGGGTCTCACCATTTAGTTGAGACTGACCTGAACTCACTATGTAGCCCAGGCTGGTCTGGAACTCATAGCGATCCTCCTGCCTCAGCCTCCTGAGTGCTGGGATTACAGGCATGTGCCACCATACCCAGTTTAATTCTTTTTATATATCTTTCTACTTCCCTTCCTCTTCTTTCCTTCCATTTCTTGGTTCTTTCCTATTTGCTATAATTTGCTTTTTAAATAAGAACAGCTTTATGAAAATATATTAAAAAGATTGTCTTCTTAGGAAAAAATGCTATAGACATGGCTACTCTTCATTTAAATCTTGTGTTCATTTAAACATAGATTATTTTTCTAGAAGGGAAAATTAACTTGCAAAGATGCCATCTTACTGATGATGCCAGAATCCTGATGTACTTGCTATTGGAAAACTGTAGTTTATAGTTTATAGTATTTCAGATGCTAGACAGTAGACATATAGCTTTATTACAACAAAAGGCACCATAGGTAAAAATAATTGTATTAGGATTTAGAAAAATAGGTAATTATTTTTGCCATTAGAATTGTTTAGGTTCAGGCAGTATTCCAAGTTTTGTAATCTGACTTCTAAAAGTAAATATATCACTGTGTTTTAGGAATTTCCTTGTCTGAGACCTAGATCAGCTAACAGGATGGTTCAGTTTGTTTCCCCTTAAGTTCTTATTTAAATGTCTCTCCTTTAGAGAGTCTTGAGGAATTTCAACTTTGATAGGTGTGATTTGAAGTAGTACATAATTTTAAATTATTAGCTTCTAGTGTTTCTTTTCTTAAAAATTTAAATTGAATTTATTGGTACATTCTAGGTAGACAGTACAGTTGCATTCATTACTGGGATCTTGTAGCTTCCAGTGTTTCTGTGTAACTCCCTAAGGAAAGAATACTAATTGGTTCTTACAGTTTTTTTTTTTTTTTCTGAAGCCATGGTTTCCATACCTGCTTAGCATACTTTAAAAAGATGGAACCAGCCTTTGACACCATTGGCAAGAAACCAGCCATTCATCTGCTTCTGATTCATATGGATTTATTTTCTTAACATGATGGTTTTTGGATCATTCTTCATCTGTATTCTGCAGACATTTGGTTTGATACTTCTGTTGTTTCTTACCCTCATAATGATGTTTCCACACTATACTTAATATATCTTGTTCTTTTACCACTTCATGTGTTTCATCTGCTTAACTAGCCCACAACTGTTCATAGCTAGATATTTTGTCTTTATTTTTTTGTTGTTGTTGTTTTGTTTTGTTTAGATACCAACACTAACACTTCCAGCTTCTATTCCTACCCCTTGTGTTATGGCCATGTAGAAGGCTCTGAGATGTTTGGATTGATTAAACTGATGATGGAAATTTACAGGGTAAAAAAAAAAAGTATAATTATAATAGCCTTTATAATTTGTCCTAGTAGTCTGAATGATACAAGATAACAGAATATAGATAATGTAGTTGGAAGATTAGAAGTCAAAATCAGATAGTATAATGGTGATGCACAAAAAGGGAAGTGGTACCTTGAGTGATGCTAATGATAAAGCATCTTAACATAATTCAAAGATAAAGATTCATATACAGAGTAGTCATGCATTACAAAAACATTAAAAGTTTTAATTTCAAGCATAGCTAGTAACTCTACACTGACTGATTAAAATAGGTTAGATTGTCCCAAAGACATTTTTTTCATTGACAAGAATATAGCTTTATTAATAACAGGAGTTTTTATTCCTTTAGAATATCCTAGCAATTTTGCTTTCTGTCTAAGCATAGTTTATCAAGTCTAGTTCCCTCTTCTTATAGAAATCCAAAGAATCCAAAGCTTCAAGGGATGAAGTAGTTATATTTGTGCTCACAGTAAAAGTTAGGATCGGTGCTAGCTGTATCCGTCAAACTTATTCCCTAGTTGTACTACTCCAGTTAGATTACTTGGAATTACTCTGGCGTCAGGAGAGGTAGGTCAGGAAAACTGCCTAAAGACAAATTTAATATTAGGTTCTAATTACAGGATAAACATGACTAGATCATCATTCCTGCTTTTAGGATTATTGATATTCTGTCCCAGACAATGTTCTGTTTGGGGTGGAGTAGGGAGATAGTCTGTTTTGCATCATCCCAAGACAGTAGTGGTAGCAAATTCCCTCCACTTCAACTTCAGTTGAGACTACGAAAAATATCTATAAACTTTGCCAGTAGGAGAGAGTGTGAGAAGCAAAAGTGATCATGAGTGAGGGCTGCTGGACTGATACTCAGGTGGTAGATGCAAACTACCATAGCCTCAGAGCTCTTATCCAGGGTTAGCCTTGTCTATCTCCTTTTTATTTAGCCCAAACAGTCCTCAACAGTCTCTGTCAATCAAGGTTAGAATGCAGGATTTAGGGTAAGATACAAGTAGTGCTCTACATACACCCACTAATTTCCATTTTTCTGTCTTTTCCTTTTCTTAAAATTACCTCTGTGACAACAAATAAAGCCATTTGCAAAACAAAATGAAATTTTGGGTAAATACACAGTATTCAGAAAGTTATGTATAGTAGAATCCCAGTAGTAGTAGCTGCTGCTGCTGCTCCTGTGTGCAGTAACACTAGTACAGTTTTCCTGTGTTCCAGTTTGACTACATCTTCTTTTTCTCTGCCTCTCAGGAACCTGATGATATACAACATTTTATGATGTCAACTTCAGAGGGCCCTCAGGTCATGCACATGGATTTATTGGCTGTGCTCTCACTAACCCCAGCTCAGTGATAATAGTAACACAACATGCCTCAGCCTCTGCAGGGTCATCATCACTCTCGTAGGATGTTCTTCTCCAGGTGTAAACTTAGTGGTTTCAGAGATGAGTTCACTCTTTGGAATCAGACACATCATTTAGAAATTAGCTATTAGTCCTGAACTGACTAGCATGAACTAGTTTCATTTAAAATTTCCTCCAGCCATTTCTTTTTCTTTCACTTTGTTGACATTCATAAATATTCAGCATGAGTAACACTTTTGTCTGTCTACATGGAAAGACACTTTGTCAGTAGGAAATAGGCAACAGAGAGCAAGGTTTAGTGGAGAATGACTGAATCTGGGGTCAATAGTTCCTCCTTGGGGAGGTCTGACAAGGTTTTAAAAAGTTTGTATTTCTGCCCTTCTTCTCAGTGCACAGCTGCTGTAGAATTTAAATCACCCTCAGCCCTCTGTGGAATTACCATAGTTGTTGTCTCTTGCACTGGGATTCCAAAGAGATCTGATGGGCAAGGCTTACCTTCCTTTAAGTTAGATTGTCAAAAAGCATAAATAAGCAAGAGATCCCTTTTTATGTAAATTATGTGATCTTGAGTTCTTTTTAAGGAGCTTTACAAATGTTGCATGAATAACTCAATTTATCCTTTGGAAACAGCTATGAAATGGAAAGTTAGGGGCAAATAATGTACCCCATAGCACAGCGAGGCCAAACTCTATCTATAGCTCTAGGCTTTAAGCTACTCTTTTTACAAAGTGTAAAGGGGAGAGCTTGCTTTACTGTTTGATTTCTTTCCACATCTTTATCTATTTTTAAAATTGACCCACACCATATTTTACTCTGTATTTTTTAATCTCTTTCCTCCTTTGGAACTGTGGAATTAGCACAGATAAAATCCAAATATGTCAGAACTATTTTTAGTATCATTGTTTCTAAAGTAGAGAGACAAAAGCTGATGTGGAGGTGCCCCTCCAACCCAAAACTCCTGAGGCTGAGGTAGAAGGGTGGCAAGTTTGAGGTCAACCCAGGCTACACAGTGAGTTTTGAAGCTAGCCTGGGTAGCATAAAAATAAGAGGAAACAGAGACAGAACAATTTGCTAGAAAACCTAATGCTCTGCTTAGTAGACTTTATGACATCGTGTAATTCATTGGTCTGCTGGGAACTATACAGAATCATGTGTTCTTGTCTTCAATATATTTTGATAGACTTGTTTACCTTTTTTTGGAAAAAAAGATTTCAACTATT